GCAAGCAAGCAAGCAAGCAAGCAAGCAAGCAAGCAAGCAGGCAGGCAAGCAAGCAAGCAAGCAGGCAAGCAAGCAAGCAAACAGAATAAGTCAGCAAGAGCAAAAGAAGAGAAATGGAGAGATATACATATTATACCAATACTTCATAAATGAGAGTTCATGGAAGTATTTTCAGTAACAGTGTGGTAGAGTGAAAATGGTTCATATATTTAGATGTCTGCTGCCCAGTTGGTAGAATTATTTGGAAAGGATTAGGAGAAATACTATTCCAGGTCTTAATCTCTCTGTCTCTGTTTCTATCACTGTCTCTGTCTCTGTCTCTGTCTCTGTCTCTGTCTGCCGCGCCCCCCCCCCCCCTCTCTCTCTCTCTCTCTCTCTCTCTCTCTCTCTCTCTCTCTCTCTCCTTTCTCTCTGCCTTATGCTTGTGGATAGGAATATAAGCTATCAGTGTCATGTCTTCTGCCATGCTCCCCACCAGGATGGTCATGGACTCACCCCTTAGTAAAGTCTTTCTTTTATAAGTTGCCTTGGTCATAGTGCCTCTTCATAGCAAAAGAGATGCTAACTACAACAGCCAGCAGACAGAACTTTGACATCTGTCAACCACTGAATGGAGAAGTGCCACAGATGCAGAATAAACAGAAGTGAAAAAGTACTCCCGCTTGATAGCACATCACATTACATTAAGAAAAATAAGCCATACAAGGACTAATTCCATGGGACTCTATTTCTAGAACACAGAGAGTAAAGCGTCAAGAAACAGATTGCTGGGTTTCTAGCACAGGAAAAGAGGGAAAGACCAGTTTCTAGGGATTTCTCAGATAAGAGTTTATGGTTTCTTTTCAAAGTCATAAAAATGTTCTAAAATTGCCTGTGGTGGTAGAAGTGGTTATGAACTCTGTGTGCATGTTAAGAAACAGTGAGTCCTACATGTGAAGTGTCGAAACTACATGGTATGTCTGCTGTATATGTAGTGTTACATCTACATAAAATTGCTTTCTAACACTCCACTTGATAGAGTCTAGATAATTTTCTTATTGATTTACTTATGGATATATGTACTACACTTATTCCTCTACTTCTGTGCTATAAAATGTCTAAAATGAAAAGGAAATGCCTCATCTTTCAAGCACTTTAAATATTTTTTGAGAAAACTATAATGGCCTTTCTATAGAATTACCTTGAGAAAATATGGAATAAATATATCCACTTCTGATTGTTAGGGATATGCCTCCCTGAGAGAGTAACTGTATAGTGTCTGTAAAGACCTGGACTCCAGCCATAGCACTGTTGAAATCATGATACAGAAACAAAGTCTTTGTTCTGAGTGAGACTTGGCAGTAAAGTGGTTCTCTGTCTACATTAGAGCCCATCCTTGCTGACAAAATGTCTTTGTAGTGAAATAAAGAATTGTAGCACACTGTTACTCTTCTGGAAAGGAAAGAAATGGTCATCTAAAATATGATCTCTGTTGCCTATATTTTTCCCCTTTATCAAATGTTGAAACAAATAACCAAGTGTCTCCATTAGCAGACTGAGAGAGAAATCAAGCCCCAAAGCAGAAGATACATTGTTACTAGCAAGGCTTTTGTGACAACCGAAAGATGCAGTCTTCTGGGAAATAACCAAAACCCTTTCTTGAGAGGAGCCACTGTCAAAGGCATTATTCTATGCTGTCTAAAGTGGAACTTGCATGACATTTGGATGAGGTCATTATGAATGTCATCACTACGCTGTAGACAAATGGACTTGAATTAATATTACTTTATCCAAGTTGCTAAAAAAAAAGGAGCTATTTCCACATCAAAGTATGTGTATTATGGATATCCACATAGGATGTTGAAAAGTGCTCTGTAGTTTTCATGAGCCCTATAATTGTTTGTTTGTTTAAAAAAACCACGCACACATACAAATACATATATGGGGACTTGAAGGCAACTAAAGAAAATACCTTAGAACTAATTTTTTCTTGTGCAATTTTTAGCTCCTTTTGTTTGTGAAGGTGATTTGCCAGAATCTCATCCTGTAAGATTCTGGCATTCTGCTCTTCCAAAAGTTGCCTCTCGATGCAATTTCTTTCCTCTAAAACCTAGAGACACATTTAAAGACATTTTTATCCTTATACCTCATGGTAGGACAAGTGGGGGAAAGGAGTCTAAAGTCATATTAACAGACAAACCTTGAAAAAGTGCTCAAAGAGCCGATAAAGCCCACAAGAATCTGCCTCCCACATGAATTACCTAAAATTTAATTGCATAAATGATAGCTACCCTTTTCAACAGCAGAAACAAAAACTTGGTGCTAGGATCATAGCTCGGTTTGTAGAGTGCTTGTGTGAGGTCCCTGAACCACTGTAAAACCAGGACTTGTGACACTTGCCTGTGAGTCAAAGACTCAGGAGGTAGAGGCAGGACGATTAGGAGTTTAAGGTCATTTCAGGGTACATGTTGAGTTCAAGAATACCAGCCTCAGGTGTGATACTTGAGGATGATAATGGAGGAAGAAAGGTGGAAATTGAGCTCTGAATGACCAGTGGAGGGCCTCAGGGTACCATCTTTGTCCTATATGAATAGCATTATTTTATCATCCTTACTACACCTTCTGGAACATTGTTTAATGATTGCTGTCATGTGAAACTTTTCTTGGGGTTGTGGTACTACTCTGTGCAATGGTGTAATGGCCTCTAATGTTCTCCTCTTCAGTCCGTTGATTCCTCTGTTCCTACAGGTGGATCTCAAAGTGCACTTTCATCTAGGATTTCATTGCAAACCCCTGAACCAGCTCCGGGAGCCCTCCTGACTCACAAGGTTTCCTTCTGTCTTGGACCAATACCTCTCTCCCCACCACCACCCAGACTCTGCCATCTTCAGCTTGAGGCAGCTAGAGTTGTCATTGCCCCTCCCTGCCAGAAGTAGACTTAGAGGGACAGAAGTAGATAAGGAAAACAAAAGTGTGCTCCCCAAGATGGAAGCCTCTTGTTCCAATAAGATACTGTGAGGAGAAGCAGTGGTAAGGCACGGGAGAGGGTATCTATCTATGTAGGACCAATGGGGGGTGGGGAGGGGAGGACCTAGAGGTCCCATAGAATATTCTACCCAGAGTCTGTTTAGCAGACTCTCAGTCTCAGGGTCCCTTCCGTACCAAGGGGTTCCTTTTGCTTTTTTTTACTTATTCCATTGCTTTGGTTTTTGTTGTTTTTCTAGATGCTCAACCGTTAGTTTAACCCAGGAAATGAGCTTGCCAGTTTCTTAGATGACTGCCAGTACTCGTGGCTCAATTTTTAATTTAAAAACCTAAATAATATAGTTAGTCGCATATCACATAAGAACACACACAGTGTTCCTGCATTGAGACTGGGGCTGGCTGTCCTGTGACTGTGAGGACCGGAGCCTCTGGTGTAACTCCTTCCCTAAATTAATGAATAGCACTTTGGTAGAGCCAAGACAGCATGCACAGGGGATACAGACTTCTCATTAGCAAGGTCCGTGATGTACACAAAAACTGACTCGACCCTGTAGAGCCTCCCTCGGGCGCCATTGAATTCTCTCCATAATACCCACGAAAGAAATGGCAGTGCAAATGGTCAGGGTAACACGAGGGCACTTCTCTTTTGGAGCCTGCCCTACCCTTGTAAATTCATTCTCAATTTTCCTTAATGAATTTGTGTTTTCCTTGTCTTCTTGTCCTTATTCCTGTGGACATGAAACAACAGACTTGGAATCCACTGGCTCAGGGTGGCTCTGGACACAACTGAGTTTGCATGACCTAAGCCTCATGGTAAGCCTAAAGATAGAACCAAGACAGTCTCTGTTCCATTCACAGTAGCCGTAAGAGTATGATCACGTCGCCCGGGTGATGAGTTAGATGTGCCACGCTTGTGTGAGTGCACACTTTTGATGACTGCATGATCAGTATGCCAAGCATATTACTCAGATCATATCCCCACATATAAGTACCATATGATTATATATTTATATTCAGTATATATTCAAAGGGATAAACAATGTTGGTGAAGTAAAAGTAAAATATAATTTTAAACACATTTGACCCTATTTGATCATACTTACTCTGACATACACTTCCAGCCTTACAAAATTTAAACAGCCCACTCACTTTATTAAGATTGTTTCTCACAGTCTTCAGTTCCACATCCAGTTCCCTAACACAAATTTCAAGTTTCTGTTTCACTTTAACTTCTTTATTATATTGCTCTTCTTTTTCTCTTAGCTGATCCTTCATTTTGTCATATACCCAGACTGCATCTTTTCTCTTCTCCTCTTCTTGTTTTAAAGTAAACCTACAGTTTAAAATGCTTATGTTAGGAATGATTTTCGTTAGAAAGTGTTTCTTTTGCCTGGCTTGTCACATATTAGTTTATTCTTCTAAAGGTTCCCCGACCTTCCTCTGAAGCGTGCTTTCTCCCTGTTGCCCCTTCCAATGTCTCCCCTCCATCTTCAGACACACACAAACTGGGTACAGGTTTTCCAGCAGTTTGTCACCCCAAGACTAGTCAGGGAGAATGTCAAGTTAGACACCAGCAAAGGCAGACACCTCTGTCATTTGGATCCACACACTCGAAATCTTATAAAATGTGAAGAAACCCAAGCAGAACGTAAATCAAGGGTTCTGTTTCTTATGGCACACTGAAAGGAGGAAATGCGTTCTGTCTCATTTCAGTCTTTTCCCAATGGGCAACCCAGAATATATGAGTTGTTTGAACAACTTCATTAGGTCATATAGGGGACAGGCACTTTGGGTCCAGCCAGTTGTCACTGGACTCCACACAGCAAATTTCCTGTCCAATGTAAACCACTGAGTTTTGCTTTATACAGAAGCAAATGTCTTTTGCATGTACATTATATTGATAAATTGTTGTGTGCTGTTAAAGCTCACCAAGAAGCTGGAGATGAACTGGGGTTTCCCATATCAGACACAAGCATGTTTGTCTCAATCTGTTCTCATGAATCCCTATCCTGGGTCAGGTTGGCCCCTGACTTAGTGATGAAGAAAAGGAGAACAACAAAGCAGCCTCAGGATATGTAGGTCCTATGTCCCTAGAGCAAGTAGGAAGTAAACCATTTTCAGCAGACATCACTCTTGTTTACCCACAAAAGATGTCTAAAGTAGAAATAGGTATTTTCTATTTTAAATAGTAGAAATTTACTTTGGAATAGTCTATTTTGTCACAGCAACAAAAAGTAACTGATGCAGACAAATACCAGTATATAGTAACAACATTCATTTTAATTACTTAATAAGTAAACCAACAAGACAGAGAAAACGGACTATTGAAATCAACTCACAGGTCCCTTTGCCGCTGCCTATACCACCCCACTCTGTGTCTAAACTTTCCACAGCCTACTCCAGGGTCTATCCTGGTGAGGATCACCTCTCCCCCAATACTTGTCTTCCACATCCTGCCAGATATAGCTCAGGTCTCACAGCCAGTGTGCTAGCCCATGATGTTTCTTCACAGCAATAAGACTCTGAGACTACAGCTTATAAAAATTTATACACAACGAACCAAACCTGAAGAAAATACAGGAAGCAATGTTTCAGGCCAAAGAGAAGAATGAACATAGGAGACAGACATGACAAAAAATACAGAGCCATAATGACTACAACAAAAAATACCATGGAGAATACAAACTACAGCACCCAAAATCAACAACATGACCACAGTTAACACACCGACCTCAATACTCCAATCAAAAGACATAGAATGACTGAATGCACCAGGAAACAAAACCCACCCATCTGCTGCATGTACAAAGCATAGCTTAGTGTTAAGGACAGGTACTGAATTCAGGTTAAAGAATGGACCAGAGCACTCCAGTCAAATGGGACCAGGATGCAGTCAGGTATTACTATCCCAATGTGTGACAAAACAGACATCAAAATGAAACTAATCAGAAGATGCAAAGGGTATGGACACTTCTTCCTAATCAAGGGAACGCGTAAGTATGAATACATTCTTGTCCTAAACATATATGCATCAAACTCATAAAAATTTCACAAAAAATCTACAACTGCAATTAAAGACACAGATTAACATCAATCCATTATAACACTCCCACTCTCTTCAATATACACATTATCTGGACAAAAAGAGAGAAACATCAGAATTAATTGACATCATACATTAAAAGGACTTAACAGATATCTATAGAAAATTCTATCTAGACACCAAAGAATTCACTTTCTCCCCAGCAGCACATAGAAGCTTTTATAAAACAGAAGACATACTGGGACCCAAAAGAATTATTTAAAAATTCAAAAAGATTGAACTCATTACTTTTATCCTATCTTAACACAGTACAATATCTTTAAAGTAACAGAAAAAGCCCACCTCTAGTAAATACGCAAACCCATGAAAATTAAAGCACTCATTACAAAAGAATGAATGTACTCTCCTCCAGCCGAGCAAGATGCCCAAAGGAAAGAAGGCCAAGGGGAAGAAGGTGGCTCCCGGCCCCGACGTCGTCAAGAAGCAGGAGGAGGTCAAGCCTCTGTTTGAGAAAAGGCCCAAGAACTTCTGCATTGGGCAGGATATCCAGCCCAAAAGAGATCTAACATGCTTCGTTAAATGGCCCCGATACAGCAGGCTGCAGCAGCAAAGAGCCATCCTCAATATGCGGCTCAGAGTACCTCCTGCCATTAACCAGTTCACCCAGGCCCTGGACAGGCAAACAGCTACTCAGCTGCCTAAGCTTGGCCTCAAGTACAGGCCAGAGACAAAGTAAGAGAAGAAGCAAAGGCTACTGGCCCGTGCTGAGAAGAAAGCTGCTGACAAAGGAGACGTCCCAACTAAGAGACTACCCGACCACCGAGCAGGAGTCAATACAGTCACCAACTTGGTAGAGAACAAGAAGGCTCAGCTGGTGGTGTCTGCCCATGATGTAGATCCCATTGAGCTGGTGGTTTTCCTGCCTGCCCTGTGTAGAAAGATGGGGGTGTCCTACTGCATCATCAAGAGAAAGGCCAGGCTGGTGCACAGGAAGACATGCACCACTGTTACTTTCACACAGGTTAACTCGGAAGACAAGGGTGCTCTGGCTAAGCTGGTGGAAGCTATTAGGACCAATTATAATGACAGATATGATGAGATCCGCTGCCACTGGGGAGGTAACGTCCTGGGTCCTAAGTCTGTAGCTCACATTGCTAAGCTGGAAAAGGCAAAGGCTAAAGAACTCGCCACTAAACTGGGTTAAAAAATGTACAATAAGTTTTCTGTACATAAATATAATAACAAAATTTTAAAAAACACACAAAAGAATGAATGTGTCAAAGAAGAAATCAAGAAAAAAAATAGAAAAGTTTCTAGGACTGAATTCAAATGAAAACCCCTGGAACACATTAAAAGCAGCCCTACAATGGAAATTTATAGCTCTGAGCACCTACATTAAAAAATCAGAAAGAGCACAAATAAATGCAGCTAAATGAGATGGAAAAACAAGAACAACTCAACTCCAAACCCAGTCCATGGCAAGAAATAAGAAACACCAGAGCAGAAATAAATGAAATAGAAACAAAGAAAACAACACAGAGAATCCAGAAATCTAAGAGCTGATTCTTGGAGAAGTTGATACACAAAACTGACAGATCCTTGGCCAACTAGCCAAAAATAGAAAGGACCAAAATTAGCACTCAGAAATGAACAGGGAAACAGTACAACAGACACCACAGAAATTCTGAACATTACATGGGAATATTTTATAAACCTTCATTCCACAAAGCTGGAAAACATAAAAGGAATGAGTTATTTTTCCAGATTAAGCCAAAACATCAAAGTTAAATAAAAAAAATTCAAAAACCTAAACAGTCCTATAGCAAATGAGGAGACTGAAATAGTAAAAAGCCTTCCTTCCAACTAAGAAATGTTCAAGATCAGATGGATTCACAGCAGAAATCTACGAGGCATTCAAACAAAGATCGACAGTCAGTCCTTGTTATACTATTAAACTAAGAAACAAACAGAAAGAACACTCCCAAATTCTTCTATGAAGCTATTATCACTCTCATACCAAAATGATGCAAAGATACAAGAAAAAAAACTATCGGCCAATATCCCTGATGAGGATAGACTCAAAATTATTCAATAAAAACCCTTGAAACAGAATATCAAAAAATTATACATTACGAACAAGTCAGCTTTACCCCGGAAATGTATGTATGGTTTGCCATATATATCCAAGTAAATAAATGTAATAAACCATATAAATTGACTTTTACAAAAATCACATGATCACCTCAATAGATACAGCAAAGGCCTTTGACAAAATCCAACATGACTTCATTGTAAAAGTCTTAACGGATGTAGGATTAGAGGGCATATACACAGTAAATGCTACATATGAGAAGCATGAACTCAATATCATCCTAAATGGAGATAAGTTTGAAGCAACCCAAGTGCACTCAGGAATGAGACAGGGATGTGCACTACCTCACTCCCTTTCAACTGTGTCCTTGAAGTACTAGCTGGCTCAGTAAGGCATGAGAAGGAAATTAAAGGGATTGAATAGAGGAAGAAGACATCAAACTATCCCTAGTTGCAGATGATATGATACTATACACTAGAGATTCCAAGGTTCTACCAGAAAATTTTAGGAATGATAAACAAATTCAGCAATGTGACAGTATACAGAATGAGTTTACATAAATCAATAGCTTTTCTATGCATCAACAACAAACCCACAAGGAGATCCAGGACACACATATTGAACTTTCTTTTTTTTTTTTTTTGTTTTGTTTTTGGTTTTTTTTTGTTTTGTTTTGTTTTTTCGAGACAGGGTTTCTCTGTGTAGCTCTGGTTGTCCTGGAACTCACTCTGTAGACCAGGCTGGCCTCAAACTCAGAAATCCGCCTGCCCCTATCTCCCAAGTGCTGGGATTAAAGGCGTGCGCCACTATCGCCCGGCCATATTGAACTTTCATTGGCCATATTCATGATTGCTGTTTTGAAATCACCAGAGAGAGTAGTACAACAAAGTTTCTAATTTCTGGAGCAAACACACATCTTGTCTTGGTTGTTCATATTGTGTTTGGGGGTATGTGAGCTAGGTTTCTGGAGCCAGGCCATTGGTAATGTTTCTTGGTATGGGTACCTGGCCTTGCCTTTGTTGAGGTAGTAAGTGAATATTTGTTACTATCACAACTTACAATGTTGTTGACCAGCTGAATGATGCTTGATGTTCAGTCTCAAGGCCATTCTGTAGCCTTTATTATGAACGTGCCTCTAACCCTATATCTTCTAAGGTCAGAAGCATTCCCACATCAGCTAGATAAAGGTCAGACTTCT